CTGGCAAGCTCCTCAGTGGCAAGGCACCCTGGGTGGATGAGATTCTCTTGGGAATGCTTAAGGCTCTGGATGTTATGAGGCTGTCATTGCTGACACGCCTCTGCAGTGCCTCTGGCAGATTGGGGTGGTGACCCCTATTTTTAGGAAAGGGGACCAGAGAGTGTGTACCAATTACAGAAGTATCACACTGCTCAACCTCCCTGGGAAAATTTATGCTAAGATGGATTCTGTCCTGGTCGTGGAACAGTGAACCAGCTTTTCACCCTTGTACAGATTGTTGAGGGGGCATGGGAGTTTGCCAACCTAGTCTACGTGTGTGTTTTGTGGACTTAAAGAAGGCTTACAACCATATTGCCTGAGATATTCTGTGGGACGTCCTCCGGGAGTATGGGGTGCTGGGGCCACAACTCCGGGCCAATCAGTCTCTGTACGCTCACTCCTGTTTGTGATATTTATGGACAGGGTGACAAGGTGTAGCCAAAGTAAGGAGGGCATTATGTGTGGAGGCCGGAAGGTGATCTTTTGGCTCCATCACATGGATCCCTCCAGTGTGCACTGGAGCAGTTTGCAGAAGAGTGTGCAACAGCTGGTATGCAGATCAGCACCTCCAGATCAGAGTTAGTGGTCCTCACCCAGAAAAGGATGCCATGCCCCCTCCAGGTAAGGAGAGAGGACCTGTCCGAGGTGGAGGAGTTTTTGGGGCCTTGTTCACGAGTGATGGGAAAAGGGTCGTGAGATTGGCTGCAGACTGGGACAGGAGGCAGCATTAATACTGTCGCTGTACTGAACTGTAGTGGTGAAGAGGGAGCTGAGCCATAAGACAAAGCTCTTTGTTTACCAGTCGATCAACATCCCCACCCTCACCTATGGTCATGAGCTTTGGGTAATGACTGAAAGAATTAGATCGCAGACACATGGGGCAGAAATAAGCTTTCTTTGCAGGGTCGCAGGCTACACTTTACTTGATAGGATGAGAAGCTCAGTCATCTGGAAGGAACTCAAAGTAGAGCCGCTACTCCTCCACATTGAGAGGAGCCAGCTGAGGTGGTTCGGGCATCTGATTAGGATGCTTACTGACCACCTCCTGTTGGAGGTTTACCAAGCACGGTTGACTGGGAAGAGACCCTGAGACCCCGTGCTAGGACCCATTGGAGGAATTATCTCTCCATGTTGGTCTGGAAGTGGCTTGGAATCCCACAGAATGAACAGGACAGGGTCGCCTGGGAATCTCTGCTTTCCCTATTGCTGCCAGGACCATATCTGGATCAAGCAGTGAATGAATGAAAGGTGGACAACAAGGTAGGTGTGTCTAACTGAGTGGACAGTAAGTGTACACAGTAGTGGTGTGAGTTATTTACTTGTACCAGCACAACAAACATTAACATGCCACTACCATGTCAGTGTCACTGCAGTGCTGAGAATGATCCACCACACACATATTATCTGCTCAGTGGTGGTCCTGTGAAGGTTCTGACCATGACAAGGAAAGGCTAACAACTTTGTTGACACTGGTGTTCACTTTATCACAAGTATCTGCGTTTTTATATGCTTCTCAGAAAACAGTACCTTTTGTAAAGAAATTCTAACATCACTAATAATAGTTGAAATACACAGATGAATTAAAAAGTGTCCCTCTTGGATACTCACCTCCCTAGCATTAGAACTGTCCTGCTCCTGTAGGAGTTGGCCCATAGCTACAGCATGGGCATAAGTCTCTTCACGGGCTACAATCTCAGCCCATAGTTGCTGATGCTGGAAAAGCTGCAGGTCACATGTGGCCACATCACGAATGGACTCCTCTGCCTTCATTCCACTCAATACTTGAGCACACCACAGAGAATAGTCCTGCACCTGAGTTACCAGGGTGAAAAGTGTCAATGAAACTGATCGATACTTCTAGACAGATCATAAGTAGTGTGAGTGTGTGTCTGTATGTAAATAAATACTGTATTGAGGAAGAGGTAACGCTGTTTGGCAAGTCGCAGCTCCTCCTCCCTCTGCTCCATTTGCATCCGGAGTCTCTCCCAGCTCTCCACCACCTCCTGCTGCTGTTCCTGCATCTTACCTTTCAGCTCTGGGGAGCATACGTCTAGAATGGAGTCTGCAGCATCCAGGAGCTCCTGCAGCTGAAAAAACACCAAACAAACCAAGATCAGAAACCATAAATGTTGTATCAACACCACTTCCTGTCTAGAAGACTCACTGCACTCTACCAAAACTTATTCATAATTGCTTTCTCTTGGATTACTAAGCAGCCATGAATATATGATATGTGACTCGTAAGCTTATCAGAACTCCAGGCATTTTTAAAGGGTAAAAATGTGGAAGTTCTCAGTACCTGCTGCTCATTTCCAGCTAGCTCATGCACCAAAGCCTCATGCTTCCTTAACTGCAACACCACACCTTGAATGTCTTTGGCGACATCATCAGGAATGCTCTTGTACCTATCCTGTTGGATTTCAGATGAACAGAAGGTCAGCACACTCGCAGAACAGTTTGATGCAGCTTTAAATGTGAATTAGATTTTGACTGTTTTTAGCTACAGTACTTCTTTTTTTCATACTTCTTTTTTTCTCCTCCAGTTGAGAGTACTTCATGCGTGTTGTTGATTCTTGCTGGATGATTTACAGACAAAGCTTCTAAAATAAATTACCTTATTGTCCAGAACAACTTTAACATGTTTTTTTTTCTGAGGCATGGCAGAAACCTGGAGATTGGCTCCATCTCAGTATGATGCTACCTAATGCCTATATTTATCTAGCTAAGCCTAGGTCCCATGGAAAAGGTGGTGGCCTGGCTGTTGTCTTTAATAGTACACTCAAAATGAACCATTGTGAGTTTCATGAAGCTACATCTTTTGAATGTATGGCCCTGAAACTGATTGGTTCAGATCCTGTGTTGTTTCTGTTAATTTACTTCCCAAATCCTCTTCAAACTTTCTGTCAGAGTTTAGTCAATTCCGCACTAGTCAGTCTAGCCAGCCCTGTGTGTCCAGCTATGATTGTGCTTGGGGATTTCAATATCCATGTTGACACTGACAGTTCATTATCAACTTAGTATTTACCTGTGCTATTAATAAACTTCTACTATTAATAAACTTCTCCACCCCCCTCTCCTACCCGTCTCTGCCCTGTTGACCCATGTGAAGTCTTTCATAGACCTCAAACTCCTCAACATTTGTCTATAGTAACATCCCTCTTAATTTAGCTGTCAAATTTCTGTCTGTTTTTTTCCTGTTGAACCTACTCTCATTTCTGAATTAACTGCCAAATCTAATGCTTCTATTTGTCAGCCTGTTTAGCTGAGCTCCTGCACCCATACTGCTCTGCCCAAACACTTAGGTCCTCTGACACAGGTCGTTTATCTGTCCCAAAATTTAGACTGGTCACTGTTAGAGGCAGATCTTTCAGTGTCATGGCCCCTAAAACATGGAACACATACTGCAATCTCTTTGTGATCGTCCCTCACTTTCCTCCTTCAAAGCTCAGCTTAAAACATATCTCTTTTCTCAGCACAGCACTACTCACTGAAGGCTTGTTTTGTTTGTTTTTTTCCTGCTTCTGTAAAGCGACCTTGGGTATGAGAAATGCACTATATAAACTTTTATTATTGCATATTGCAAGTATTATAACATATTAAAGTACTACTGGGTTTTGGTACCTCTATGTGTCCCAGAGCATCAGTCAAGTCTTTGTAGACTTTGTGGCATTCCTCAGACTTGTGCAAGTTCTCCTTACGATCTTTGGCCAAATTCTGCAGCTCATCCCATGATTCACTGACAAAACAATAAAGACCAAGCTGTAATTTCACAAAAGAGCTTCACTTTACCTCCTCTCAGAAATTTTGCTGTAACTATATTTACTCCTGAACAGAATTCCTGTAATGGTAGATACGTAATATTGTAGACATTATATGTGGCTTTTTCACATTTTGTCATGTAACCGTGTTTGCAAAAGGAAAAAGTTACTACCATCAGAGAATCAAGCAAAGTACAGTACTGTGCAAAAACCAGAGACCACGCTTTTATTGATTTTCCAGTCAAAACATTAGACATGTCCTGAAAAAGAAGAAAAAAATGCAGGAAAAAAGGAAACATATTTAACTAATAATTACAAATATTTTTTCAGCATTTACTGGGTCCACCCTTTGTCCTTTTCTACCTTTTCAGGAGACTTGTTTTCAGTTTTTCAAAGAACTCTGCAGGGAATCAGCAAAAGCTTGGCTGTATTTTCTGCTTATCATTGTCTAAGTAATCTCAACACATTGAAAGATCAGTCCATTGTTCTAAGAACACCAGTAGCAGTTTAATAAGTACATCTTTATCTCAGTAGCAGTGTGTGTGCTATTATCTCATTGTAGAATTAATTTTTTCCCAAAGGTTTTCCAGAGAATATTACATTTGGTGTTTAAAAATGTTGTCTTTACTTATTACCATTCATGATGTTTTCAATCAAAAACAAATCACCACCTTCAGATGTTATACATCCCTAAACTTCTTATAGTTACACATCTTTTCAGACTCATGGCATTGAGCTGAGGTGGACAGAAACACAGTTTTTGATTTTTATAATTTCATGCTATTTCTCAAAAATAAAAATTTTACATGCTGTTTATCGGATGTTGACGGTTTTGGGTGTCTATCAGATATTACGCAGTTGTTAGAAGACTTTTTATTCTTTTTTTCCTTTTATTTTCCTTTGACCTTACACTTTTTACGCAAGTGGATTACCTTACATCTAATTTTCTCAGAAATATCTTTTTTAGCCATTTAAATACATATTGTCACGCTGTCAAAGGAAACAGACTCCATCTCCCAGAATCCCACGGGAGATCACGTCACTGCACAACTTCCTTCAGAGTCGGAGGCAGACATGGACTCCATTACCCAGAGTTCTTGGGGAGCTCACGTGATCTCTGACTCGTAGACACGCTCCTATCAGAGATCCCAATCTCCTGAATACTAATGTGTCGCACCTGTGTATTTTGTCATATGACTCGTGTTGTTTAGTTTAAAAGCCCAGGCTTTAGGTAGAATAGTGGCGAGGTATTGTTTCCCTGTGAACTACTGAGTGTTTGTATTCTGATTACTGGTATTCTGTTTTTGACCACTGCTTTGTTTATCTGGATTCTGTCTTTTTGCCTAACCCTTCTGGTACTTTTGCCCATCTTGACTGATCTGTGTTTTGGAACCCTTTTGCCTGTTATTTGGATTACATTTTTTGCCCTGCCCTCATTGGTTTGTTCGCTTGGTGTTATGATCACCTTTCTTTTGTGTTTTTTGGACTTGACCCACGCCTGTTACTCGACCATGTTTTTGCCTTGTGTGATTAAAACTGCTGTGATCTTTTCAATCCGCGAGCGTCTGGTTTCTGTCAGAGCGTTACAGAATACCTCGCCTCCCATGCAGACGGCAGATCCGGAAGCCTTACAAAAGGCTCTGAACGAGCAGGGACAACTCCTGGGTCGCCATCAGCAGAATCTGACCGGAGTGATTCACTCCTTAGAGTCATTAGCTCACCAACAGGCAGAACAACAAGCCCAGCTGGCTCAACTTGTTGCTAGTGTGCAGGGATTGACGGGCCAACTCCAAACCATGAGGCTCACGGAACCTGCAGTCAGCCCTGATCTACCCACGACAGCCGCCCCATCATCTACCACGGTTTTTCCGGTTAGTAAACCAGATAAATTTGAAGGAGACCCAGATAAGTGTCGCAGGTTTCTGCTTCAATGTTCGGTGTTTTTTTTTTTAAATTCCCCTGCCAGCTCCGACCAAGCCAAAATCTCTTTCATTGTGTCTCGTTTAGCGGACAAAGCTTTAAAATGGGCCACGGCCAGTTGGACCCATATTCATCGTTTGTCCTATAATCAATTTCTTAGAGAGTTCAAAACTGTGTTTGATCACCCCTACGAAGGTAAGGTCAGCGGGGAGTTAGATTGTCTAGATTACGTCAGGGGAATCGCTCAGTGGTGGATTATTCGCTAGAGTTTCGTACTCTTGCAGCGAGCAGTGGCTGGAATGAGGCGGCTCTCCTCGTGACTTTTCGCCAGGGACTGAATGCAGAGATTGTTAATGAGTCAATTTTTACTGTAGATTTATCAGAAACTTTAGCAGCATCGCCACCCCTATCACATCCCTCCTAAAGGGAGCCCCCAAGAAGCTCAGATGGACCGAACAGGCAGAAAAGGCATTTAAAGATCTAAAGGAGGCTTTCACCACAGCGCCTATTCTGAAACACCCTGATCCAACACAGCCATTTATTGTGGAGGTAGATGCTTCAGAAACGGGAGTAGGGGCAGTGTTGTCCCAGCGTACAGGTTCCTCTCAGAAACTACACCCCATCGCCTTTTATTCCCATAAGTTGTCTCCAACTGAAAGAAATTATGGTATAGGGGACCGTGAACTCCTCACAGTCAAATTAGCCTTGGAGGAATGGCGACATTGGCTGGATCAAGCCAATCACCCCTTTATAGTACTCACTGACCATAAGAACTTAGAGTATCTCCGTACAGCTAAACGGCTCAATGCGCGTCAAGCCAGATGGTCCCTATTTTTCTCAAGATTTCATTTTAGCATATCATATCGACCTGGCTCTCACAACACCAAGGCAGATGCTTTATCCAGAATTCCAGCCAAAGAAGATCCGACCCCTGAAAATGAGAACCCTGAACGTATCCTCCCCCCGAAGCAGTCATCTCCTCGATCCGATGGGAGATAGATGACGAAATAGAAAGAGTTTTGACCAATATCACTGTACCCAGCCAATGCCCCCCAGGGAAGCTCTATGTACCCGAGTCTTTTCGCGACCCACTTATCACGTGGGCCCATTCCTCTCTCACCTCGGGCCACCCCGGAGAAACCAGAATGCACAAGCTCCTCGCACATCGCTATTGGTGGGAATCCATGACCAAAGATATACATGCCTTTGTCTCATCATGTTCGACTTGTTCTCAGTGCAAGACTCCGAAAATGCTACTGGCAGGAAAATTAATGCCCTTGCCCATACCCAACCACCCCTGGTCCCACACAGCCGTGGACTTTGTTACTGATTTACCAGAATCACAAGGTTTTATGACCAGTCTGATGGTGGTGGACCGGTTTTCTAGGGGAGTTAAATTTATCTCTTTTTCAGCCATCCCTAGTGCTTTTCAGACTGCTGAAGCCCTTTTCCAGCATGTATTCAGAGTGTTTGGTATCCCAGAAGATATCGTATCGGACAGGGGACCTCAATTCACATCACAGGTATGGACGGCCTTCTTTGAACTTACTGGGGTCTCAATTAGTCTGTCATCAGGGTATCACCCACAGTCAAATGGACAGTGTGAAAATGTGAATCAGGAACTGGGAAAATTAAGACTCTTTTGTCATGAAAACCCGTCTGACTGGGCTAAGTTTTTAGTATGGGCCGAGATCGCTCAAAACTCTTTAACAAGCTCTACCACAGGAATGAACCCTTTCCAGTGTATTTTAGGTTACCAACCACCGTTAGCACCCTAGACCGGATCTCAAACCGAGGTACCGGCCGTGGACTCATGGATGACATGGAGTGAACAAGTCTGGGAGGAGACACACCAGCGCATAGAATCGGTTCTGCTACGTCATAAGGAACAAGTAGATCGAAACCGAGGACCAACCCTCATATTCCAGCCTGGGAACCGAGTATGGTTGGCCACAAGAGACTTCTGTAACTCTGAGGGAAGTTGTAAAAAACTTCAGCCTAAGTATATTGGACCTTTCAAAGTTTTGAGACGAATTAATGATGTAACCTACAGATTGTAACCTACCCTGTTGTTGCAGGGCCCTTGGATGAGGCTACACCGGACGTCACGCCACCCCTACCAGAAGAGCTAGATGGGGCTCCAGTCTATGCTGTCCGTAGGTTGCTGGACTCCAGACGACGAGGCGGGATCCTCCACTATCTAGTGGATTGGGAGGGGTACGGCCTGGAGGAGCAATGTTGGGTGCCAGCGAAAGATGTATTAGACCCTGGTCTCATTGCGGATTTCCACAACCAGCACCTGGAGAAGCCAGCTCCTTGTCCCAGGGGCCGCCCACGTAAGAGGCTCACTAGCTCTCTTCGTGCCCATCTGCGGGATCCTTGTGAAGAGAACCCGTCTCTCCAGCACCTCGGCAGCTCTGGATCCACCCCCGTTTGGAGGTCCAATGGTGTGCGTGGCGGTCGTCCAGGTCGCCCTCGTTCCGAGGCCCACCCGGACTCTTTGAGGGGGGGTACTGTCACGCATTCGGCAAGCTGTCAAAAGGAAACGGACTCCATCTCCCAGAATCCCGCGGGAGATCACGTCACTTCCTTCAGAGTCGGAGGCAGACATGGACTCCATTACCCAGAGTTCTTGGGGAACTCACGTGATCTCTGACTCGTGGACACGCTCCTATCACAGATCCCAATCTCCTGAATACTAATGTGTCGCACCTGTGTATTTTGTCATATGACTCGTGTTGTTTAGTTTAAAAGCCCGGGCTTTAGGTAGAATAGTTGCGAGGTATTGAACTACTGAGCGTTTGTATTCTGATTACCGGTATTCTGTTTTTGACCACTGCTTTGTTTATCTGACTTTTGGCCTAACCCTTCTGGTACTTTTGCCTGTCTTGACTGATCTGTGTTTTGGAACTCTTTTGCCTGTTATTTGGATTACGTTTTTTGCCCTGCCCTCATTGGTTTGTTCGCTTGGTGTTATGATCACCTTTCTTTTGTGTTTTTTGGACTTGACCCACGCCTGTTACTCGACCACGTTTTTGCCTTGTGTGATTTAAAACTGCTGTGATCTTTTCAATCCGCGAGCATCTGGTTTCTGTCAGAGCATTAGACATATGAGATAAAGACACTCTTGTGAACAGCTTTTGTTAAATGGACACAGCAGGAACTTGGAGTTAAAGTGGCAGTAAGGTACACAAAAGTGGACAAATTAAACACTGATAGATTTGATATTATACTTAGTTTTGGAGGTTCTTGTGTACTCTTCTGTAAAATTTGCTTCTTGCTTTTTTTTTGACACCAAAAAATGAATAATTTACAATACAATTGAAAGGGTGGTCTCTGACTTTTGCACAGTACTGTATGTCAATGGTTTGATCGTAGCTGATAGCAGGCAGTTACTGTCATTGCATTGTGTTGCTACAGGATTGCAAATAAATAAATAAGATTTATATTGCTTCTTATTTCATAACAAAAAGAGCTGCTAGCCTCTGAAAGAAAACACTATAGTTTATGGGTACAGTTATAGTTTATGCTCTCATTTGAGAATAAAATAGGCTGCTGTAGTTTTTCACTTGACATTCTGTGGCAACAGACACCCTATTTTCTATAGAGCTTGCATAAAGTATTTGCTCTGGTAATGTATGTGTACCTGAGGAGCTCCTGCGTCTCCTCGATGAAGTTCCTCTCAGGATGGTTGTTTTTGATGAGCCTGTGAGCAAGTTCTTTGCATATGTGCATTCTCTCCCAGCCCACATCTAACTGCTTCAGGAACACCTCAAACCTCACCTGTAGTTGCTATCAAAACAAGTGACATTCAGACAAACTGTTGATACACTGAGAAGCCAAAACATTATGACCATTCACAGATGAGTCAATAACAAATATCGTAACAACGCAGGGCATTCATGTGGATGTCAGTTTGACACGTGCCACCTATCTAAACATTGTTGCCAAACATCGTTGCAGATACCACAGGGCACCTTCAGAGGTCTTAATAGTAGAGTCCATGCTTTTGGAGTTTTGGCGGAATGCGGAAAACTAACAGGACTATTACACAGGTGGTCATAATGTTTTGGCTCATTGTATACTCCGCTAATGCTCCTCAAGTAACTCTCAATAGAAATACTACTGACCAAATAATATGATCATACCTACTTTTAGTATTACAGCCACACAAAATAGTATTATAGCTATTTTTATTGTATGTTTGTGCTGACCAGCTATCTCACCAGTACGTTCTCATAGTCTGAGCCATAGTCGTCAGAGGAGGCAATCAGACGCTGCTGAGCTATCCACTCTTCCAGGTCTGAGGACTCACGTTTATATTCATGCAAATAGAGGGTCTCCCGGAGCCTTTGGTCCCTGTTATATCACAGTGTAGCAAGTGGATGCTTTTATGTAATGTTAACAATATGACGGGACACATTTAAATGATGCAGATCTTTTCATTTACCTCATTGTGGCTGAGTGCTGTAGTTCACTTAGCTGAGATCTAATGTTGCTGTAGTTTCTCTTTACTTCCTCTAAGCCCCAAGCACGCACAGCCTGGTCTACACTGGACTTGAGCTCATCCACCTGGGCAGCTAGCACCTCAAGCTGACCCTCCACACCCTGCACACATAAATTAGTGTCCAATGTTAGGATTACCCTCAACACAGCACGAAAAAAAGAACCATATTACAACAGTGATTAGGATGTTACAGCTTTGTACGCACCTGGTGCTGCTTCATAAGACTCTGTGTGGCCAATTCATTTTTTCCATAGTCAGAACTGACCAAGGCTGATGTTTCAGACAGGCGGTTTTCCAACTCTGCGCAGTCAAGCAAGATCTGCAAATAATTATTTATATTTACCTCACATTTAATCATAATGTACACAGGGATACTACTTCTCTCCTGGGTTTTACCTGTTCCCGCACAACTGCTTTGTTGAGATGGGCTGAACGTTTTTCACAGGCATCCTCTAGCTCCTCCCACTCTGCAGATAAGTGGTCACACCTCTGCCGCACCTCCTGGCCATCCCATTGGCGCGACCTGGCCATGCCCCCCCCTCTGTCCAGCACACGCTGAAGATATTGGCTGTGGGCATTAACCTCTGCTTGCAGCTCCTAGCAGGGTTCAGAAGAGCCATAAACTTTAACAGAATCATAGAATTATAGTTCATTCAGAATGATAGTTGATTCAGTTTATTATTCTTTGAATAAACCCAGACTGGAAAGATTTCTTGGCCAACACATGGAAATTAGTACATCCCCTTCACAGACAAAAATAAAAAAGTCATTGTACACTCTTAAAAGCCCACATAAACACAGTGTCACTAAAGACAATGCCCAAATCAAAAGGAAAATCCAAAACTAAACAAAATACTTAAACTTTTTCATCTGATCTTACCCAAACAAAAAAATGATGAAACATGCTTTTGAGAGAGTAAAACAGAATGATTAGGAAATTTTCATGCATTCCACAGCTTGATGTAATCATATCTAAGATTCTACCTTATGCTTCTGTAGGAGGTTGATGGCTCCAGCAAGGGATTTGCCATAGCTACTGGTTTCTGCTAAAGGGTAATGTTCAGATATCCATGTAAGCTCCAAGTCTACGTCATGGTAAAAGCTGTAGAGGGCCACATCTACTTCCAGCTGGCTTCTGCGATGATCCAGAGGCTTTTGTAGAGACTTAAACCTGACAAAAAAAACAAATGACCAACTGAGACTCACATGTTGAGGTTAACTGCCACACATAATACATGCACTTTACTTTAAATGTCCCCCACGATCAAACGTGTTTTAAATGGTTTAGTCCTCTTGGATTACTTATCAAATTTATTTTAATAGCGCAGAGTTCACATTTTTCTATTGAAAACACAGACTTGCTTAGTACATCTGTAAAAAGCAATTTGTAGGGCACTACATAGTACAAATGAGCCTGAACTTATCACGGTCCAGTCAAATACAATCTGTGGCCTGTCATAGGAGCTCACAGTTTCAGGTAGGTGTCTGTCTCACGGAGAATCCTCTGTGAGTCAAAGTGGTTTGTGGCCAGGTGTTTGGCACGGGTGACAATGGAGTTGATTTTGTCTGCCAACTCCTGAGCTTCCTGCTCCAGCTGCTTGTGTTCCTTGAGGAGCTGTCGACTTGAGCGAAGGTCATTGCCTCTTGGTGCATACTGCAGCATCCGCTGAATTTCCTCAATTTTCACTTTGGCATCCTGAAAAGTAGCATTTTTTTTCGGTCAGAAGACAGGAGTACTCAGAGGAAATTCCATCTAAAATATATATTTTGGCTATAGCCTTGATTTACTGTTGCTGACCTTGTGCATATTAAAAAAAAAAGGTCCTGATTCATCAAACTTGTCATAATGCATCATCATGTGAATCTAAATTGGATCCTATTTTAGTGTTTTAAAGTCAGAAAAGATCTTGGATTTTATCGTAGAAAGTTGGTTCAAAACAAATCAGCGACAAACAACGGCAAATATGAAAATATCGTGTTTTTTGGGTGGAATTTTCCTTCAAGGCAAATTGTATTGATCCTTAGCTGCAGTTCAGACTTACCTGAAGTAGCTCCATTAGTTGTTCCTGTCGGCCAGCCTGTCTCAGTTTGTCTCCTCTTTCTGCCATCTTCCTCTGGAGCTCGCTCCACCGATTCCGTACCTGACGAGATTTCCTCTGAATGCTCTGACTGTTGTAGTGATCCTCAGCTGCCATCTCTTCTCCTGCCTGGTCATATGAACCAAACACAATAAATAACATTCAGGGCTGTGTTTCTTAAAAGCACTGTGGCATAAGATCCATACACAATGGTCTTCAAATGGCACAGTTAGACAGTACACCACTGGGAGCACTAGCTTGCCTCCAGGTACTCTGGGGAGGCATAAAAGCCTAAGAGGTAGAGAGTCAGGTGGGGAGACAGTTGGTGTGACAAAAAGTGGTGTGGTGTTGAACCTGAAGGTGGAAGCTGACCATCATCCTCTGCCGGGTTTTCGTTGTTTGTTTTAGGGAATTTGTCCCAGCTTTCCATATTTAAACTACTGAATAAAACCGATGGGCTTCTGCTTACTGTACTTGAGGGACAGCGCTTGGGCGGGTCTGGAGTAGTGGAGGTAAGTTGGTTTTCCCCCAGTAACCCTCAATCACCTTAGCTTTGTATATGCTGATAAACATATTACCTGCACACACTTAGGTTTGAGGTTTTGACTAAGTATACTGCAAAGTTTAAGAAACCTAGACTAAAACAGTAGTTAGTCATTAAATCCCTAACAGTTGAGGGCTCGTCCCAGCGTCTTTGATAATGGTAAGTTTTGAGATAGCTAAAGAACTGGAACGGCCAGAAGAGAAATGGCCTTGGCCGGCTTAAAGTGTGTTGGTGGGAAAAGCTCTGGAGGCGTATGCTGTGACAAATGTTAACCACTTAAGGGAATATAAATCGGCGAGAAAAGCAGTCTTGGCAGCATATGAGATGGTGCCAGAGGCTTATCGGCAGAGGTTTAGATTTCTTCGCAGTAAGCAGGACGCTATGTACATGGACATAGCGCAGCAGCTGGAAAAGTCATTTGATAGCTGGCTAGCAGCTTGTGAAGTATATATTTTTCAAGATTTACAGCAGCTTATGCTGATGGAGCAGTTCAAGGCCAGTATACCGAAACATCTAGAAACTAACCTTAACGACCAAGGGCTGCACCAGGTGAAGAAGGCAGCCATGATGGCCTACCCTGAGGAGGAGTGACAAGCCCCAGACAGCAAGCATGTTCGGGCCGGATTTCCTTGGCCGTCACAAAGTCCTCCTAGCAGTCACATCTGCATTGCGGACTTGTGCCACATTTGGGCCAAGTAACTGTTAACAGCACTAGACACCCTGCCGGTCAGCGAACTCAGAGCGCATTGAGGCCGGATCTTTAAAACAGACGCGCCTCATTTAACTAAGAATTGCAACTATCACTCGCTGCAGAACCACAAGTCCAAAGGGGTGGAGCCGGACCTGATCCAACTACGCCCACGTCTTCTTTTCATTGATCTAAAATCATCACATTTCTACTGGTCTTTAACTTAGTATGTGTTTCTTACATTTTCCGCCTTTTGGTCTACACTGTCGCGTTTTTATCTGTGGGAAAGCCGCAGGTGATGCTGGTGTTTTTGTTTTTTTTCTCGATGTTGCTCCGTCCTGAATGTCACCACACAGTCTTTATAATCGCTCATGATTCACCACGTTCACACTCATTCGTCAAAACTCGAAAAGCTTTTTTCACATTCCGGTACAAAGTCCGTTCTGTAGGCCTGCATCTCAAGTGTACTTATGATAGACGGGTTCTAGTTGAAAACGCTGAACGTTTTTAAACACTAGAATGCACATATGACAGGTAAAAATAACACACATAACTGGGTTTTATCAACTAAATCCTGCAATTTCATAAGAGAGAGAAAATGTGTGTTAGGTTATGTACTGACTTTCACATTCGCACTTGATTACGTTTTACTTGAATCTGACGGGCAAGTATAGCGGGGCGGGGTGGAGTCTGATTTAGTTCAGACCAATTAAAACACGACGTAGGAGGAGTTGGATCAGATCCAGCCGTACCCCCTGGACTTTTGGTTTTGCTGCGACGACAATCTCAAAAATTGCGCCTCGTTTAAAATTTGCCCCTCCCCTTTTCCCCCCTCAGTCCTCTGCAGTTGTGAGTTGACTTTGACTGTAAAACTTGCTACTGCTTTTGAGGTAAGGTGTATTTT